CCCCTCCCCTCCCCAGCGGGAACGTACGTGCATACGGGCCTTAAATGCATAGTCATCGATAATTAATGGTATTTTGTGAGGTGTAACGAAGTGGGAAAGAATAAAATACCAACATGACCGATATTGTAATGTTAGGTCAGCCTAGTTAGCTGTCGACCACTTGGTGGAAATGAGTTTGCAAGAGTGAGTAAACAAGTTAAGACAAGATGGAAAAAGGTTTGCTGAAGAAGTTTTATGTAGAACTAGCTGATGTACCCGGCCATGCCCGGGATGATATCATTTACCATCTTTGCAGATATGTATGACATGCAAGACCATAACCTATCATTGAGTTCATTCGCAAATCAAAAACCTTTCACAAAAAATTGCAATAGCTGGTCCCGCATTTGATGCAGTGCTTTTTAAGGGTTCATATAATACTAATCTTAACCGTAGTCACCGGTGTAATTGCTTATGCACTACGAAATGATCACAATTTCTCATTTTCCCGTCAATCATAACATTGGTCGGTAACTTCTCTTTTATGGTCGGAAATCACTTCTCTTTTACATCAGAAAACATCAGAGAAAGAAAACACAATCACAGGGATTTCCGCGTAGGAAAAGTGAACACAGGATGATCGATTCATCATGCAACGCCAAAAACTCCACTGACAGGCTGGTAAGAACGGCAACATTCATAATGATTATTACCGTCAATACCCTTAAGCCAACCGTTTCTGAGCAGGTTTGAACCTATGGCTTAGAAACCATACAGAGAGGATCGACCCAAATGAGCTAAGCAGCTGGATCACATCTTAGCTTGACTCAAGATCTCAGTTGTTAGTTAAGTAGGCATCGTATCCGTCCCCGCCCCACGTAAGGAAACCCTTTTCGTCTGAAACAGGCTGTACTTCTTTGGATTTGGAGCAAAAACCTACCTGAGATTTCCTCTACCAAGTTCCTTATGCCAAGATAAAGAATGAGCCGTACTGCTCACTGTAGAGCAAATTATAAAATGATGCGAATGGGGTTTTCATTTTCCCACATGCACGTGAACAAATCAATAAATCGATAGAAGGAAACAACGAATTGTCGCGAAAAGTAGCCTATGTTTTGCGCCGTGGCTTATTTATATGGGAGCAAAATTCAGCTCAATCCGTCCACTCAGAAAAATTTCTATAAAACACAACCATCTTTAGCAACTTACACACAAACTTTGAGTTTTATGTATGTATAGATGAATGGAGTCGCGAATGCGATATCTTATCGCACCGCATGGACTAAGTCCATTTTATTCGCACAAAAAGCCCATTTCGCGGGGACTTTAGTGGGTATCATTCCTGATCTATTAGGTTGTCCCATAAGTCTTTTCATTTTTGAGTTTTCGCTATAATAAGTCACATACTTCTTATTTTAAGACATCAGGACACCATTCGATAGAGCAAAGCAAGCTCTATAAGATGGCATGCTTTTGCACAAGCTTTGGTTCATCTCGAGTTTTAAACTAAAAACTAAACAGTTTCGGATGGCCAGAAAACCAAAAAATTTTTGTATCTTCGTTCAAAAAAATCTTACAAATCTCTAACTCGCTCATGCATATACATCCCACATCAGACATTAATGTATGCTGTTGCTGTTTTTTTTCATCAGCCAGAAATCAAGAAAACGAAAATTTCCATGTTTTTAGCAAAGTGGTGCTGTGCTGTTCTTACACTAACATTTGTATACTAGAAGCCCTTAGAAGTACTACCGTGGATTTTTGGCTCTCTATATGCTCTGGTTCACGAGAAATTTAGCTTTCTTCACTCAGGTGCTTTACGCTTAAATCAACATTTCTCGGAAACCAGAGCTTATAGAGAGCTAAAAGTTTACAATTGTACTTCTAAGGGCTTGTAGTATACAACTGTTAGTGTAAGAACGGCACAGCATCACTTTGCTAAAAATGATTTCTGGCTGATAAAAAATACAGCAACAGCACAAATGAATGTCTGATATGGAATGTACATGCGTGAGCGAGTTAGAGATTTGTAGGTTTTTCTTGAACGAAGATATAAAAAATTTTCGATTTTTTGGGCGTACGAAACTTTTCAGGTTTAAATTTTAGGCTTATGGTGGATAGAAGCTGGTGCAAAAGCACAAACGCCTTCTTATAGAGCTTGCTTTGCTCTATCGAATGGCATCCTGATGTCTATTCAGAATAAGAAGGATGTGACTTGACTTATTATAGCGAAATTCAAAAATGAAAAGACTTTTGGGACAAACCTAATACAAACAGATCCTCGCCACAGAAAGGTTTGTCTAGATCTACACCATCGATATAAAAATCTGTCTAATCACGAACTTCACTGCTAAGCGAGAGCAAGGAATTTGTTCGATACTACAGGCCAATGTCAAAGGAGGAACAAATTACCGCTTTCGCTGGATGATCTGACAAAACTTTGAAAAAACTCAGGAGAAGACAGCTGCTCTTTTTTTTTCTAGAAGTATTTGATCATGGTTTTGACGAAATAACTGGTAGCTTACGAGACTATAATTATGTAGCATTGAATCTTGTAATGATCGGCGGTTATAGTCACTAACAATGAATTCCACGTTTTGGTTGTACCAAAAATCTACTGGACCACTTAGTTTCCACTCTCCCACATCAATACTGTCTCTCTTTGCACTGATGTAGTGCTCAAAAATGGTGAAAAGGGGTTCAATCTCTAGCAAATTATTGGCCTACCTTCTGCAGGCAAAAATCATCAAAAGCTGGTATGGGGCAAACTTTATGAGTGGCTAATAACAAGTGACCCTTTTGAACAGCATGTTTCTCTCTAAGGTTATTCTACAACAACGCTGCTTTAGCTTCAGTTTTCATCTCTTACTTTGGGTCAGTAGTAAAAAAGTCAAACTCAGTACTTTGCACTTTCAAAAGCGTACACAGTAACAATCCTGAATTATTTGTTGAAGCCGCATATTACCTTTCGAGGATTGTAAGTCTCTCATTTTTTAAGTTTTGTTACTGCTTTTGAATCTGGTCGTGTATACTTTATAGTTTTTCTTTTGTTTTGCATTTTGCGAAATTAAAGTTTGCCACATTGATGTGTAGACTATAACATTCAAGGAAAATACAAATTTTTTAGAGCCAGCTGGCAATAGTCTACAACACCGCTCACATTTTTTGAAAAATAGACGCGAATGTATGGACATGTATGTAGGCTGATGTATGGACATGTCCATACATCAGCGTCGCCTGGCCATATCTCGCTTCAGAGTGGACGAATTCTGAATCCAAAGCCACCGTTCAATTCAGCTCGGCGCGGAGGATCTTCTGATATATTGGAAGTGGGGGTACGATGTTTTCGATATTCCGTTTTCGGTTTTTTTTCAATTTGTTTTGCGGAGGTCCTTTCGCGAATATGTGAAGCAAAGCCTACCCAACATAGAAGATTTTACTAAGTGCTATTCGCGCTCACAGAGGAATTTCGACAAAATATGCGATCTTTACATTTTGGGCAAAATTCATGAGGACGTGTTTTCGTAGGCTCGTAACTTGGCGAATTTGACAGACTGAAGCCTGAATGATGCACCATTCGATAGTACAATTCCTAGTACCTTTGACTGAGAAAAGCAAGCAGGTAAGGTTTTTGAAAGATACGCGAGAAGTGCGGCCAAAATTACGAGCTTTCGTGATGCAGTTACAGTCACCTCACCGTATCTCTCCAAAAAGACCCCGTAATCCTCAAAGACCACGATTTTCGTAAAGAGCGTGTCCGAAAACCTCTATAAGCGAAGTTTCCTTACAATTCAAGAGCATCACATTTTGACCAAAATCCATCGGCGAGCTTCCGGAGCGTAAAACGAGAAAAAATGGAATAACCCGAACATAACGGAAAACTTGCTCGTAGAGGTTATGCGACCTGCTGATTTCGAAACTCACATCTGCTTAGCAAGATAGCTTCGTATCCTGCGGATATGGCGAGTGGAATTTGGGAGGACAAGATTTTTTCACAATTCACCAGCCGTTCTATTTCCTTGAAAAGAAAGCCTGCGGCTACTATTTAGCACATCATAATCTACAGAAAAAATGCTATCGAAATATCCTTGCTGGAATGTACTCGGGACAATGCCCGCTGCTTTACACCTTCGCGAAAAGACTTCCTCAGAAAGATTCAAGAATACTGAAATCGAAATATCAAGGACATGCTGTATACGAGAAGATTCGCTTGATGAGCTGAGCAAGGCGCTGTTTTCGGATTAAAAATATACTTGTTCCGAAGGAAGTTATTTCGAGTAGAATTTAAAAACGCGTGATTTTTCCAAAATTCACCAACGCTTCTATCTCCTTTGAAAGGAAGTGAGCCTACTTTTTAGCGTCAATAATCTACGTAAAGCCTTCTATGTTGGGAAGGCGTTGCTTCACATATTCGCGAAAGGACCTCCGCAGAACAATTTGAAAAAACTGAAAACGGAATATCGAAGACATCGTACCACCACTTCCAATATATCAGAAGATTCTCCGCGCCGAGCTGAATCGAACGGTGGCTTTAGATTCAGAATTCGTTCACTCTGAAGCGAGATATGGCCACGCGACGCTGATGTATAGACATGTCCATACATTCGCGTCTATTTTTCAAAAAATGTGAGCGGTATTGTAGTACTTACAGGAACAAATATCAATATCAATCACAAAATCTGATGTGCTTTTTGAAAGCCTGTTCTCCAGGAAAGCCAAGAAACTTGCCCTGAAATGACCTTCGTGAAGAGCACAAACCTCCTCTATTTTTGTGAACGCAGAGCCTTGAAATTAGCCTCAAGATTTCGCAAGCCATGTTTCAAGTGATTGTTTCTAGTAAGGTTTCTAATGAAGATTTTGCACCAACTTAGTAGTTTTCCCTTCAAATCAATACTCAACGAGAATCCATAAAGCAGGTAGAACATAAACCAACCCAATATCCTTCAATCAAAGTCGCAATGTGGATTTATATGTTGAATCAACTTGTTACAGTATATTTTACATTACTGGACACATTATTCAGCCAGAATGTATTAAGTTTTCAAACACATGATAAAATCTTTGGAAATGTGCTGCTTGACGGCTGCACTATTTTTTTCATTATGAATAGATTAGGGTAAGAAATACGACAAGAACGCAATAAAAACGAGCAGAAGGTGCTAGATTGCTTGTTGTCTAAATCACGGGCGTGGATGTGACGTATTTTGGGAACGCTGACGTGAAGGTGACGTTTCTCCAACCGAGCCTGAGAGTAGAAGTGACGTTTCTTGGAACGGGCCTGAAGAAACTCATATTATTGTAATTTTGTTTGTCTCAAGGTGGATGGCGTTTACAAGAACCATTATGGACTGATACTCGAATCAAACTTGAAGGGTACAAGCTTTTATAAGATTGCCTCAATAAAAATTCGTGCGTACTTGGAAATGCTTTTCGAGTGGCAGATTGAATAGATAACATTGAGTTTCAATGTGGATTTTTATCGAAGTAGAGCTCGAGAAGAAGAGAGATAGGCTCTACTTACCCAAGAGTAGAGCTATTTGTTGTGGAGTTGCCAAAGCGCTCGCTAGCAAAACTATTCCTTTCCTTGAGATTGAAATTGTTATGGGATATACCATGGCCACCCTGAAAATGAAACCTCTTGAATAAGATAATTTGCTCTCTAAATTGCAAAATTTCGACCAACCTGGAGATCATGCAGGGCTGGAGCCACTTGTATTAATTCAACAGTCGCAATTAGAATCATTGTGATATACAAGGCACTCATTGTTTGTCTGAAGTTTTGCAAAGAATTTTCATACTGTATTATCTTCGAAGGTTATGTCCTTTGAGACAGGGTTTTATTTGAATGAAAGCTGTTTGATTTCTACTCTTGCTTTGACTCTTTTAGCCTTTATTCAGTCTACAATTTCATCAATGCCTTCGCTCTCCTCTTTTGGCATCATTTGAATCTAACTACGAGCTATATCATAATGATAAAGGCTAAACGTGTCAATATATATAGTTTGAAAACTCTAAAAAATTGTGGCGTGCGCCTTCAACCTACTCGAAAGATAGTTGCTCAAGATGGACATCCTAATTCAAAACAATTACGAGATTGTACGATTCTCCAAAAGTTGATTTAGCATTTCAGGCTGCTTTGGCAAATCAGTTATATTAGGTCGTGTAATAAGTTCTGTCCCATTTTTTGTTTTAGTTTTTTCTTGACAACATTGACTTTATTCGAGATAAAGTGTATATGCTTATGAAAGTTCTAAGTCTGCTCTACAGGCTCATATGCGTCATTCCCCAACATAGCAGGAAACTGAAAAAGATTTTTATCATTGAAACAAATATCATTTATATCAAATATCAATATCATTTCTCAAAGACTCAGGCATCGGTGACTTACCTTGGCGTTTTAATCCATCCTTTTTTTCGAAACAGGTATGTGCAAAAAGAGAAAAAAAATCATAGGTAAGGTCTAGATAAAGCGCACCTCTCTTAAACAATCACTTGAGTAGGGCTGTTGGAAAGTTGTTCCTGATTTCTCTCGGTCTTCCGTTGGGAAAATCATTCGAGGAGTCCTTGGGACGAATACCTGCTTTCCACCGTACTCGATTCTGAGAGGTGTGCCATCCAGCCCAGAAGTCCGTAATTGGCTAATCAGCAACAAACAATTGCCGCATACCTCTGGCCCAGACACTCGTCGATGGGATACGAGGTTCAAAGGGCACTGCCGCTGCATGTGCCTACTTCTGGCGGCTAAATGTCACTCGTTTTTGAGTGATTAGCCATCAAAATTACGGGGCTGGGAGAGTAGCCTTTGGAAGTAACCGCGAGCTATTGGATAGCCCGTAGATTTTCCTCAGGCAATCATAGTAAACGACTATGAAACTCTCCATAGGCAAAATTGGACTCACAGTAGTTTTTTACTAGTGAGAACTTGATTTTGAATTTGGTGAGGCACACAGTGGTCTTTCCACTAGTGAGCGGAAAAAAAAGGGACATTCACAGTGGTCTTTCCACTAGTGAAGTCACAAAAAAGAAAAGTATTCTCACAATGGTCTTTCCGCTAGTGAGAATTAGGATCAAAAGTGCCCTCACAGTGGTCTTTCCACTAGTGAGAGTTATGGGAAAAATTAGGCTCACAGTGCGTTTTCCACTTGCGTAACCTTATATATACATATAAACATATGTACAATGCCGGCGGTGGCGATAGAGTCACTGAGTTCTTGTATGCGCTTAAATAAGGGGATTCAAAAAAATAAGTAAAGGCTGGAATCGATAAGTGGCAAAGAAAAGCATAAAAAAAAAGTTCACGGCTCGCGGAATCACGGCTCCGGGATATCACGGCTCTAGGAAATCACGGCTCGCGGAATTCACGGCTCGCGGAATCTCGATCTAGAGAGTTGAAACTCGATCTAGAAAGAGTGCGTCGAAAATTCACGGTTCGCTTTTCACGGCTCGGGGGATCACGGCTCGCGGAAATAAGGAAGAGGAAAAAAAAGATAAAATATCGTTAGATAGAAGATAAATAGAAAATACTATTTTTTTGCTAAGAATAGCAAGTAATACAAAACTCAGACTCATCGCCTGACTCAAAAAAATGATTAAAAAAAAGGATGAAATATCAAAAAACTACGGAGAAACGTAGGAGATGAGGGCTGGTGCCGGAGGTGGGAGTATGCAAAGATTTGGCCAAAATCCATGCTGATTCAGTTTTAAAAGTTTATGATTCAGAAAAAAAAATGGTTAAGGAATGATTGATTCACAAAAATGTGAGTCATAAAAAGAAAACAACCCGGGACCTCCATGTCAAGTCCAGGAGGTGCACTCTCCTGACTTGAATCCTTCACCCTGGTTGTCCTGCTTTATATGAACATAACATTGATGACTAGAATCTTTATTATAGCTTTATATGATAAGGAAAGGGGAAGGGAAAACCGCCGGTCACCCGGTTAGGCACAGCTCATCTGGAGTAGCTGGGCACCGCCCAGTTGGCGTGGGGACTGTCGGACCATCTAATTAGTCTGCGTCTCGACAGATTGCCACGTACTTGGAAATGCTTTTTGAGGTAGATTGAATAGATGACATTGAGTTTCGATGTGGATTTTTGTCAAAATGGAGCTCGAGCAGAAGAAAATAGACTCTGCTTACCCAAGAGTAGAGCTATTTGTTGTAGAATTGCCAAAGCTCTCGCTAGCAATGCTATTCCTTCCCTTGAAATTGAAATTGTTGAGGGATATACCATAGTCACCCTGAAAATCACTTCTAAAACGAATTACCTATTGAATAAGATAATTTTCTTGCTAAATTGCGAAAAACATTTCGACCAACCTGGAGATCATGCAGGGTTGGAGCTACTTGCATTAATGCGACAGCCGCAATTAGAATTATTGTGATATACAAGGCACTCATTGTTTGTCTGAAGTTTTACAAAGAGTTTTCATATCGTATTATCTTCGAAGATTATGTCCTTTAAGCGTTTTATTTGAATAAAAGCTTTTTGATTTCTACTCTTGCTTTGACATTTACAGCCTTCAGTTTACAACTTCATCTATGCCTTCGCTCTCCTCTTTTGGCATCATTTGAATCCAATATAAACTATATCGAAATGATAAAGGCTGAACTTGTCAATGTATGCCATAGCTTAAAAACTCTAAGAAATTGTGACTTGCGCCTTCAACCTACTCGAAAGATAGTTGCTCAAGATGGACATCCTAATTCAAAACAATTACGAGATTGTACGATTCTCCAAAAGTTGATTTAGCATTTCAGGCTGCTTTGGCAAATCAGTTATATTAGGTCGTGTAATAAGTTCTGTCCCATTTTTTGTTTTAGTTTTTTCTTGACAACATTGACTTTATTCGAGATAAAGTGTATATGCTTATGAAAGTTCTAAGTCTGCTCTACAGGCTCATATGCGTCATTCCCCAACATAGCAGGAAACTGAAAAAGATTTTTATCATTGAAACAAAAAATCTAAAGAGCCGAAAAAATTAATCTTTGACATCTTTTTTTCCTCCAAATTTTTCTCGATTTTTACCGGTAAAACTTATTAAACAAGCTTGGCAACAACCAAAACAGTCTATTAGATTTTTACACTTATTCTGTCACTGTCTGCCCATGTTTCCTTCCTTCCACCGGCTATTTAATGACATCTTTTAGAAGTCGGCAAGGCAAGACTTTGTCGCGGCGATGTTCGCCGTCTCGCGTACCCAAGCTGTGCGGCTTCCAGAACTCAAATTTTGAGTATTTATCCTACGAATTCGATCATTTTGAAGCCACAAACCATCCCTCCCGTCTTTACTGGATGATCCTCCTACCCTCATCCCCCAGGATGCCTTCAGATGATGTTCAACACCAACATTGAGAAGGCGTTAGAAAGAAGAATTTTTTAAAGTCTACAGAAATGATTTTCGAAATGTATCAGCACTCCTGAAGAGCAGTAGAAGCTAGAGCATTCTTTGCTTACGTGTAGCAAATTCTTCGGGCTTATTCGTAGGCATTCTGACCAATTAGGAAGGTGACGTAACGTAGTTGTCGAAAATGGATTTTTTCCCTGTTTGATTTCCCAAATTTGACGCTGTAAAACTTTTTCAAATCATTTTATGTAGAAAACCAAAACAAAGGTTTTAGTAGAGAAGGTTTAGAGCTTTCAAATTCATGTAAACAGTTTACAGAATATCGAGCAGAATAGTGCGAAAAAATCAAAAGAAAAAATGGGACAGAACTTATTACACAACCTAATATTTCGCATATTTCCAAGATATGCGGTATGAAGAAAAAAAGTCAACCGCATTAAACACTACTTATAAACAAAAGATGTACAATACCACTCACAAAATGTGCAAAATTTCCGCGAATGTCGAGGAACTCCCGAAATGTTGCGGAATTCCGGGGATGTCGCGGACTTTCGCGGACTACCCGTGATTTCGCGACACATTCACGGAAATTTTGCACAGTGTGTGAGTGGTACTGTATGCGTGCCACGAATGCAACAACTGAGAGTATTTGTAGAAAGAAGATAGAACGTTTACTTAGTTGGACAGATTGTGTGCTAGTAAAATTGTTGAGTTATACCAGAAAACAGACATTAACACATTGACGACCAAAGCCTTTCTCGGACCAGCCAACATTTTTCAACATTTTTTTCTTGTGCGTGATTTTATTTTTCAAATAAAATCACGCACAAGTCCATCTACAGTACACCTACAGTAGCGTTGGAATGCTGGCAAAAACAGTAGAGGCTGTATCTAGACTCAGCATAAAAGAAAACTCTCAGAGTTGGTTTGAAACAAATTAGTAGCCATTCCAATGGCAGTCATGGTGTGTCAAGCCTTGACACACCATGACTGACTGTGTCAAGCGGTCGTCAATGTCTTAAAAATGGATTGTTATCATTTCTTGACACTTATCATTGAGCTATAAATTTTTTGCTAAAGGCACTCCTTAATGATGTACGATGAATCATACATTCATATAATGTTATTTTAGTACTTCTGAAGTAAAGAATATTTCAAGAGAAAGCATAGAGAAGAACGTAATTTGCTGTAATTTGAAGGAATCGACTAGTAAAACTCTCTTTGGTCGGTACATTTGTGAGGCACAATTCATGTATGTAGCAATCCAAGTAGGATTACAACTAATTTAAAAATTCTCAGAAAAAAATCTCCCTGTCAAAAAGAACTTGTACAAACTCCATAGCTTTAACACTGCTCGTTAACTGAATTACATAGACAAGCCTTAGCAAAGTAATTCCAAAAATCAAAAAAGAGGCACAAATTTCTAAAAAAAGATCAAATAGCCAGTGGTAGTGATTCAGATGCTAAGCTCACGATATCTTCAGAATGATTGTGTATAAAAGCAATGGAATGCAGAAAAAGAACTCGTTATAATCATCAAGTCTTTGGCAGAATCATACGTGATTAAAAAGTGGTGAAAAAAACGAGAAAATTTTTTTCCGCCGAAAAATCGCCTATTTTGTGGCCACTTTGGCTGAGCGGTAATGATAACCCAAGTTTCGTTTATCCCTATGAATCGCGTTTCTGTTTCTGTCGTTGCTCACATCTTTCTGACACAACTGGTTCTTAAATTACGGTACTTCAAAATTTCAGGTAGATTGATAGAGTTCGGTAGAAACAGAGACTGCGCTCGATTGTTGCGGAAGAATCCGCACAATGTATTGCGTATTAACTTCGTTGCAAAGTGGTTTTCGATGTCGAGACGTGACCAGCTCTTCTAATTGTTTTATGAAGAACTGAATGGTATATAGCAGGTTGGTGCAAACATTTTGAAAACAAACAAAAATCGTAATTTCTTGTTTTCTCAAGGGATTTGCATAAACTCTACTTTGCTAGATAGAGGAAACCCTTTGCTCTATGATAGGGAGGGGGGGGGGGCTTTTGAGATGGAAGCAGGAGAATAAACTCACTTTAACTTCGCTCATCTTGAGTTATGCTGCTGAAAATCTGAAACTTGCCCTAAAATCCGAGCAAACACTATAGTAACTCTTTTAATTAAATTTTTTACTGTGCAGAGTTTGATGAAAGAGCATCTCTATGAAGAGTTATGATTTTCGAAAAAAGACGAAAAAATCAAATAGCTGTTTTGTAATGCCTTTGCTTCTTCTCCTTTACTCCTCTTCGCCTCAACTTTTCGACCGCTGTACTACCCTTATCGCCCTGCAATGGGGATTCGGCTTCGTTCCCTCCTTTGTTTCATATCCAATTTGCAAGACGTGCATTCTAGAGCTCTGAAGCTTACTTGCAAGCTGACAAAGTTTCCAAACACGGTTTTTCGTTTCGAAAGAGAAAATTTTGTTTTTAGAAGTTTCGGTTTTATTTCGATAGTACTTTTGAAGCTGTTTTTCTGCGCATATAAACATTTTGCTTCTGCCTACGGCGTAGGCCATGCATGTTTATGAAAACTTTTTGAAGGTAAACCGTTTTTTTTATTTTTCCCATGCTCGAAAATTTGATTTTTCCTCAGAAGGGTGAGGAGAGCAATGCCGGATATTTCACCAAAAAGATGACAAGATAAGGGCAGTTCAAAAACGCATCAAAAATCAGGTTGGCTTTGATGTGCACATCCTCTTCAATAAGAAAAAGAGAAATTCTTGTTTTAACATGACAAACCGATTTGCACATGTGACTTTTTTCTATTTACTAGTTCGATTAACAATCGCCATATGTATATCTAAACCGCGCTTGATTTCAAGAGCCACCATGAGAAAAAACTCGGTTCGTTTCCTTGTTTTTCCGATTTTTACCGGCAGTCCCAAAGAGTACTCTTGTTCGAGCAGCACCCAAAAACAAGAATTTAATGATGGTGTTACTTCTAGCTTTCATCTATGCCCAAATAATGCTCGAAGACCACTACTGGTTTGCGTTTTAAGAATTATGAAAATGAGAAAAAGATTTATATTCATACATATAACTTTATGTCAAAAGTTTAATGTTTTGACTTGTGCCTAACTTACAGTATACAGGATTTCGCTTGCTTGAGAAAGTTACATTGTTATGATTGCCCATTTCTTTTCGTTCTGCCTAATAAGATGTGTGCAAACGGCAATAAGCAGATTATGCTTCAAACATAATGCTGACCCTATGGTAATTTGTCGAAACTTGTGACATGGAACTCTACTTCATGCATCATTTCTGCAAAACTGTTTGCTCATATATAACAACAGCAAAGGATAAAAAAAAGGAGATTGAAGTCTACTCAGCAGTGCTCCTGGAATTACATTGGATTGAGTAAGATGAGCATTAAAATGAGAATTTCGCTGTTGCAGACGATAGGCGCTAGCTTCTTCCTCCTCGTCGTTGGTCTAAATGTTGTTTTCGTGGCAGGTCTGGAAAGACAACATATTAAGATTTAAGAGCAAAGACTCAAAATTGACCATCTCCATACCTAACAGTTGTTTTGTTGGCATCCTTTGCGCTAGCGAAGCCCAAGCGTTTTTCTGTGTAATCAAAGATGACGTAGTATTGCTTGAAGAGCGGAGCTCCAAAGTACCATTGCGGATTGCCAGAAGGTACTGTTGGGAGCGTTTTTCAAAGCTAGCGTGCATCCAGTTGATGTCTGTGCCTGTCAAAAGGTTAGGATTTTGCTTATGTTAATCGTGATAATATACTGATGTTGTTTGCCCACATTATTCTAGTTACGATTCTCCATTGCAGCTTTATTATATTGAAAAGAACTGTCGTAAATTACAGAAGGCAAGAAGACAATTTCGTAAAATGTGTAAGCATACCATTCGCTAGAGTAAAGGAAGCTCTACAGGTTGACATTTGAACACTGGCAGAAGTAATGATTTATGCAAAGCTTGAATCAAAGTGAATCAGAACAACTCATTAACCCAAAAATTTAATTTTTGCCTCAAAGAATTCAATTTTTCTCACTTATTCACGCATGTAACAGACGATGCAATCAACCATAGGTTTACATGGTATATATTCTGGCTTAGAATCAAGAAAAATCGAAAAACTGGAAATGCCCTCTTCTGCCCTTTAATCAAGGCTCGGCACGAGGTGGCTTACAAGCAAGCTGGATATCGTTTTTGGGACGAAAAGCAAAGGGGGTTTCGTTTTTGTGACCGAAGAGACACGGAAAATTGGCGACGGCGACCTTTTTTTTAGTCGACGTTTCGTTTTTTGGGGGATTTTGGGGAATTTTTCAGGTTTTTAGAGGAAATTTGGTTGAGGGTCAAAGGGGACTTCGTAAAAATTCCCAAAAGTCAAGGGGGACTTCGTTTTTTCCATTTTCATCTAGCCACCTCGTGCCGAGCCCTGCCTTTAATTATCCTAGGCTCTATATGGTATTTCTCGAAACGTCAGTCGAATAGTTTTGGCCTTGGATATGCCTCAGTTTTTGAGAAATATTGGTCATAGCAAAAAAAGCGATATTCTTCTCTTTCCACTTCGATATCTTAGAAGGCATTCTTACGTCAGGGATCTTTCAATATAAGTCTTTCTCAATTTTAGCTTGATCATAAACCGGCTTCACCCATTGAAAACTTCTGAAATATACATCACAATGATCATTTGTAGTACTATCCTAGGTAAAATTTTACGTTTTCAATATGAATGATGTATGTCGTGCATATCTTTCCAAGCAACAAATCTGCGAAAAGAGAAAATGTTACAACTTCTAATGGATTTTTTTTACAAAAAACTTGTAGAAAAAACAAGAAATTTGAGAAGTTCTATGCTGCTACAAAACATAATATTTGGTAGGTACCTTCACGATTAACTTGTCCGACGTGATTGCATATTTTGTCTTCTCGACAAGGAACTCGAAACTTGGTAGATTTGCATCGCAACGGATCTCGTAGACTCCGTTTTTGTACTAAAAAGTGTTAAAAAGTTTATGCCGAAATATCATTCATAAGGGTACCTTCGCCTTGACAGTGTTGGCTATCTTTTCCACGTCAATCCTTGGACCTTCAATAATGGGAACGAGATCGGGCATCATACTTGTTTGGCCAGTTTTGAAGCTTCCCATCGAGATTGACCGAAAAATGTAAAAACCTTATTTCTAGTTTTTCTTCTTTTTATCTAAGTTATATTTTCCTTCTGCTCATGAAGAAGCTTCTGTTTGGAAAATGAAAGCATTGAATCATCACGAATGAGTGCAATAGCACCTGATCAAAACACTTTTCACTTCCATTAAAAGAGTCAATATAACGAATTTAGACTGAACCACTTATTTTAATTACATCCAGTACCCCAGTGTGACTTAGATTTGAGGCAGACGTAATAAGCTAAACTAAGGCAAGCAGCGTTTATAATCCTGCCATAAAAACACTCTCATAATTTTTTCGCCATTGATAGCTAGTGCTTGAGACCTTTCTGAATAGCAAATACTTTGTTACAAGTTGTCGAGATAATAGATCCCGAGCTTAAAGCTGTTTGATTCGTATGGAGCTGATTTGTTGATCAGGGCCTGGCACCAGCTGGCACGGGGCAAGCTGGATATCGTTTTTGGGACAAAAAGCAAAGGGGATATCGTTTTTGTCGACAAATTGCGACGTTTTTTCTTCAGTCGACGTTTCGTTTTTTGGGGTTTTTTGGGTTTGCGGTTTAGGGTCAAGGGGGACTCCGTAAAACTCAGCGAAAATCAAGGGGGACTTCGCTTTGAAAATTTCTTGGTGCCAGCTCGTGCCGAGCCCTGATGGAGATAGATGTATGTTAAGCTACCTTAGTGCACATATGGTGCAATGCTGATTCTGGTGATATACCAAAACCTAAAACGGTAGACATGTAGTACTTCCTCCCTCTCAAATATCGCTGTCCATATGCGTAAGCTCGCCCAGTTTGCTTACCTTGAGTTGAATGGAGGTGCTTGATGGGACATTGTGGAATGTAAACGACAGACAATTAGTAGAATCTGCGGATCCATAAGTCACGTATCCTGCGCTTGCAGAGGGTTGTGGGTGTTTCAAATAGACGGTAAACATTGCCGGTCTCAAGATCTTTCCAAATATGATGATTGCTTATGTCTATTGCTTTGCATCAGAATAGTCACGCAGAGATTTCTCATTTACGACTTTTGAGAAGCTGTAGCATAAGAGGTTCACTTGGAATTTCGGTATCTTCATAGCTGATTCCAAGATTTAGCACTCCATTCACACCACACTAAAATTGGTTCTATCTGTTTTGTTGCTGTTCAGATAATAGAGAAAAAAATTTACCAAGCGTTCACCAGCATCAGATGACATATAGGTAGCCATTCCAAAGGTGCAAGTAACGTCTAATGGCTTTTCATCGTTGGAGGCACTCTATAGATGTGATTTGTTGAATACTTTGTGAAAATTCACTGGGCTTTCAACTAAGTTTTGCAACTATACTTTTATAATTTCTCTCTTTGTATATGACGCACTCAATTTCTGCTATTATGTAGGCATAAAGTAAGCTCCAAGTGCAGATAAATTTCTGCTGAATTCTGTAATCGTAGTGAGGATTACGGTAGGCATATGATATAAGAGCAAAATTAAAGATCATTACAAATTTGGCTGAGACTTGACATAGGGGGGTTATTTGACATGCTGATCACGAAAACGATTAATTTTGCGTGGTAGGGGCTTTTTTGCGAGATTACTGTAGGTTTACGGTATGGAATCTCATTCTGAACAAGAAAAGAGGCGTTAATTCAATTGATAAATATAAAATTTGTTCGGCAGATTGAATAACCCCACCATGCAAAGTACGACCGAGATCCCCACTCTATTAGTCATAGGCGCTCGTCCTCAAGCAGCACTACATACAACGACTCCTTAGTTTGTGAGGGCCCCAGGCCTCAACTTGTCTTCGAATTCCATTTTTTTTCTTAATCTACTAAATAAGCCAACCTCTAGCAACAATTCATGTACAATTTAGGATTGCTGCGCCTGATTTGGGTTTACAACGGCTTTATTATTACTTTGAAAAGCAGTGTTCCGGCAGATTTTGCATTTTCACTTTTTGCATGTTTTGGGCCTTTTCGGCCCGTAGACCCCAAATTTGAGATTTGAAACGAGTGAAGTAACCTTTTAAAGGCAGCTCGAAGAGAATGTGGAAAGTTGCGAGGCCCTGGCACGAAGACCCTGTTGCCTGTAATTTTTGCTTTGGATAGCGTGCATTATGCGGAAGAGAGGTCTTAGGATCCCGCACCGAACGGTAAGCGAAGTCGTCCGAGCGCGCGCCAATTACGGTTGTGCGCGCGCTCGGACTATTTTCAAGGGCTATTTTTTCGGCTCAAGGGGAACATCAACCAGCTGGCCTGCGCTTGGAGGTCAGTGGGATGATTAGGAACCCCACTATAGCAATATCGCGAGGGCGAAAATCTGGTGAATCTGCCGCGATAATGCCTTCAAGCCCATAAATCCTTGAATTTCACTAGTCTTCGGAAAGTCTTTGGATTCATTCCATTTTTTCATCATATAAAGCGAGCGGTTTTTGCTAGTTTAAGGATCACACGACGTTCTATACAGTATCGAAAAGTGGGCGCGCTAACGGTAAGATAAAAAAGCGAAAAGTTACGGACTCAAATGCAAAACTTAGTAACAGCGTCAAGTTTAGCAGCTTCAAACGCGATCTAGCAGAATCTGTTCTGTAAACTTACTCTCACATTGTCTTTTCCATGTACACCCCTCATTGCTCCATGAGTATGCTGAGACCATGGAGCAGGGTCACCCAAGAGTGTGTCTGATTACATTAATTTGAATCTGTTTCTGCAGTTACATGGAGGATCTCTGAATTTCATGTATTTTGCAGCCAATTCTGACTTTTAAATAGAAAACACATTCAAACTTTCAGTATATGGAATAAAAAATTGGCTATGTGAGTTTGCTCCGTTTCGGCGGACAGTGACTTAGGCCTAAGAGCATTGTTTTGCACTGCTGAAATGAACTGATAATCTGTCTTTCTATGACACTATGCCATGATTCGGTCACGCTCACAGTTTTTAAATACGGCCAATCTCTCCACTCAAGTCAAAATCAGCGCAAGTATCAATGTACTGACGTGCTGACCTACATACAGATAGATTTCCCGCTCAATATAGTTGTTTGCGGTGAAGAGGAATCGCGAAATATGTGCGTGAACTATATCACGCTATGTTTGTCTATCTCGTTTTTGGACTTGTGAGCATCTCTCAGGCTGAGTTTTGATTCCCATGTTCCGGAACTGTTCCCGCACAGTTCGCGCACTGTGCTGGAACTGTTCCGGAACCGTGCTGCATGCGCTACAACCGCTCTGCACGCGTTTTGAACGGCAGGAATTGGAAATTTTGGGCGTTTTTAACGATTTTTCTTCCAGATTTCTCTCATTTTGGCCTCATTCCTCTACCCCGCTTCTCCTTGTGATGAGAAAAGCTGTGAACTTAAAGCGGGGTTGAAGAATGAACGTTGTTCTTCTCTACTTATCTGGAACATGCACATGAAAGAAAACAGCGTTCTCTCTTCAACTCCGCTTCAGGTTTCCAGCTTTTCTCATTACTAGGAGAAGCGGGGTAGAAGAGAGAACGGAGAAGCGATACAATATGGAAAAAAGAAAAGGGCTGAGAATGCCCAAAAACGAAATCATCAGAAAACAAGAGCAAAGTTCCTGTTCCGCATTTCCAGAATGTTCGCATATCCTAATTCGAGATAGATGCCTGCGAAAACTATGCAGCGGCTTCCTGAAAGAAATGAGTTAGGTTTGAGGAAAAAGAAAACGAGGTGAGGATGGACAAGCGCAAGAACAGACATTTTGTCGGATACGCAGGCAGAAAAGCGCTCATTCTTCAACCCCGCTTCAAGTTTAAATTTCTGCTAGTCAAAAAGGGAAGCTGGGTAGAGGAACAAGGCCCAAGTGAGAGAAATCTGAAATAAAAACCGTTAAAAACGGCAAAAATTCTCCACCTCCCGCTGCTTAAAACGGTGCGGGCGGCTGCAACGCATGCAGCACAGTTTCGGAATAGTTCCAACAAGAGCGAGAACTGTGCGAGAACAATTCCGGGACATGGGAGTCAGTAAGAACCCAGCCTCAGACTATTCATTGAAATAAATGCAATAAAGTTCAAGTATTCCAATTAACTTTTTTTCCTCCTTGGGATTTGATTCCATCCTTTCATCTGGCACCAGGGCTGCGATATAGACCCCTTTAACACTGATTTCCGGCAGTACGCGGACATTAGTTTAGACTGGCCATCCGCCCTAGACTTATTTTGTTAGGCGAGCAGCTCGATGTTAGCGAGAGAATTTCGCATGCCTTACATCATTTATCGGGGCACCGTGAGTTACTTGACTCACTGTATATTTAGTTTCCGGGCAAGCCTAGGCCTTCTAAGCTATGACGCACGGAATTACTCTGTCAAGCCCTGGACCTTGCTGGAAGCTACGTTTCTTACATGCAGTGAGAGATCACGCTACTCGCATGAGATACGCCGTGGTGATAGGGCTAATTCTAAGCTTTGCGAGTTCCAAGTTAATTGAAGTACCTAAACTTTATTGTTTTGATGGAGGAAGAGGGGGGGGGGGGGATTCAGACGCTTATATCAGGTCATCAGCATGCATTGTTGGGCGCTTATCGAGTGCTTATCGGCGCTCCCCGGGATGGGTGTGTCATCGCCCGTGGGTGGTTGGCGGTGCTCGCATAATTGTTCGAGCTTTGTTCTGCGACGGCATTCAATTTTTTGAAAGAGGTGTTTCGGCATAATTTGTTTTTGATGGCTGTAGTAAAGTGTCAGTTCAAAAATGGATGCAGGATTTGTAAATGTATCTTTGAAGTATCCGGGATGAATACTCTTATGACAACCTAGAAACAGGTTGCTGAGTGGATTTACGATAGTTGGGCTTTCTGTAGCACGTAAGGCGACCACTCACTTTATGACTAAACTTTTTTTTGATAGAGCGATCGTAAATAGGAGAAGAGTTGGTCGCTATGCCTGTGACCCTCCATATTTTATCATCAGCAAAGACATGATGAATAGAGTGATAGATAGATAGGTATGGG